GTTGCATCTCACCTCATTCTGCAGGGCTGCTTTGCAGCTACCACAAGACTCAGATTTGGGAGATCATATGCTCCAATAGAAGAAGGTCAAACTACCAAGTGGTAGATGCAGTCGCTCGTCTGGCCCCATGAATATTTCAGCTGCATTGTGCCAGCCCCCATTCTGCCACTGCTTAGCGTTTCCATTCTATCTTGCGACTGGAAGGTTTCTAGACTGGTTAGCTCCTGATCACTCACGCATATCGAGAAGATAGCAATCATTGGGCACCAATGCTTTCGAATGGACCGGACGGCCACCGATGATTCGTAAAGATTCATGTTGATAGATTCTTTTACATGAGCAGGCAGAAGTCTCTCGACTCCGCAGTGCGTTTGAAGTCGTCATCCACCTTTTACACCCAGACACCTAGACCCGAGTGGTCTATATGCTCAGCGCCATGATGGAGTTTACGATGTCGTTGTCGTTCTCCTTGAGGGCCTTGACGGCCTTCTTCCGCGAGACGCTGGCCTGCTGCATGACGAGCTCGATGTCCTTGGCCTCAAGACCAGAGTCGTCGATCTCCTCATCGTCGTCCTCCTCTTCCTCCTCGTCCTTCTTGTCCTCGACAGCCTTGGCCTTGCCCTTGCCGGAGTCGTCGCCGTGGTCGTGACCGGCGTGGTCGTGGGGCGCGGACTCGCCCTGAGCGAGCTGCTGGGCGGCGGAGGCCTGGGCCTGGGCGTTCAAGTCCTCGATCTTGGCCTCACCGAAGATGCTGGTGCGGGGTCAGCAGGCGGCTTGTGCCATTGAGGGGCAGCGACTCACATCCAGGTGTTGCTTGAGGGCGACTTGTAGACGTCCGGCTGGTTAATAACAAACAGGACCTGGTAGGTGTGTTAGCCTGATACCCTGACCTGTGTCTCTGGTCTGCCCGCATCTCGTGTTTGTTGACTGCAGCTCCCCCACCAATTGCGCGGAAAGCACTCACGTTCTTCGGTCGGCGGAGGGTGACGCGTGTGATGCCGTCGATGTGCTTCAGGCCGAGCTTGGCAATGGCCTTGCGAGCCTTCTTCTCGTTGCGGGAGTGGACGGCGACGGAAGAGCCCGCGGGCACGTTGACCTCGCCCTCCTCGTTCTCAGACTCGTCGCTGGACTCATCCTCCTCGATCTGGACGTTCTTCTTCTCGGGCTCGTCGGGGAGCTCTTCAATGCGGGGGTTGGCCATTTTGTCGGTTTGTGGGTGACGGCAGGTGGTGGTGGTGCTGCAATATCGAGCGTCGCGGAGTTGGGGTCGGAGCTTCCAAAAATGATTTGTGGGCGGTTTAGCGCGGGCAGCTCTCACAATTGGCAATGACGCCCATCACAAGCAACAATTACTCTCACAGCCTATGTCGCGCAATTCACAAGGACGGGCATTTCAAAGGGGGTATCAAATTGCAATTCTAGTTGCACTGTTCGTGTGTGTTCATGAATTTGTGGATTGAACTCTCTTGCTACATGTGGAATGCATGCGAGAGCCGAGTAAACCGTTCCCAAACCGAATTGCACCGTGCCAAACATTGGACTTATTCGCCCTTAACCAGGCCTTGAATTTTTGAATGCCTTTGAGGTCGCCTTCGGAATGCTCATGAAATGCACCTCATGCCTCTATGCCACCTGCATGCAGCGATCACCACAACGCCTGTCTCCCGACAGCATCGAGACTACCTATGCCTTTGCGCTGGCGCGGATCTTGGCGAAGGTCTTCTGAACCTCGAAACGAGCCTGTGTTGCTGTTAGTCTATGTTCCCAAATCGCATCCGTTGTATCGCGTCCAGTCCGAGCGGTCGCATTCGACGACACAGGTGCAGGGCAAAACGTACCTGCTTCCTCATCTTCATGACCTTGAAGCGCTCAAAGTCATTGAGTCCCCGCCTCTTCTGGATAGCCGCACGCTTCTGGGCCCATGAGCTCTCGTCGAACTTTTGCTGGACCTTGTGCTCCTCCCACTTCTTCGCGACGTGGCCGTTACCCGAGGCACGGGGAAGCTTGGGGATGACGATGGGTGTAAGGGAGAGTTTCGCAAGCGCGACTTCCTGGCGAGGGACAGGGGCCTTCTCGGAGGGACCTTGGAGGAGGACCTATGTCTGTGTGAGCCGCTGAACAGCACCCGGATCGCGAATTTTCCATACACGCTTGTGGTCGATGATCTCGACGATGACAGCGAGGCGGCCCTCGAATGCACCCTCGTTGAAGAGGACCACGCGGCCGACCTCTACCAGCCTCCAGGCACTCGTTGTAATTTCGGCGTCACCCATTTCGTCGATATGTGCTGCAAGAGACTGTTAGACGGGGAGACACGTGGAGTATTGCTGCGTCGAAAGCGTACCGGTCGGAAATAGGAGTCGGTGTTGATGTTCTTGTCGGGAGTAAGTAATGTCGGTCGGTGGAGGTTCGAAATTCAGTGTGAGCCCGGGGCCGTGCACAAGCGAAAGGCGCCTTGGCGCTAGCGCCGTCCTTAAAGTTTTCTGCGACCGCGCGACTTCCATCATCTCCTCCAGCACCGCGGGCACCGCAGAAGCACCACGCTCAACTCGACAGCCGTCGCGACTTTATGCAGTCGTCGACGTGGCTACTACGACCACTTTACTTCGCACCATGCGCTCTGCAGGTGCAGACACGACGGACGCGACATGCGCCGAGCTAAACTACTCCAAAGACCCATAGCTACTCCCCAGCACCCATAGCTCCACTGGTATGTCTCTCACCTCCACACTCCTCCCCCATCCTAGGATGACATAATTTGCGATTGAGCTCGGCGTCGGAGACCCTCGCCGGGGTCTCTTAACGGCGTCGAAGTCATGACATTCAATTTCTTACATATTCTGAGCTTGCTTTACCTATTCAGCTTCATCACCGCACCGACTTTGCGACAAAGGCTGACCAAAACAGACGCTTAGATACCCAGCCAACAGATACCTGACATCTGGCGTCGCGGTGAGCCTGCTCATTGCAAACCCATTTCGACATACGACTGCAGTGCCGTCACTGCACACGGCTACATGCGCAGGTCAGTTCTTACTTTTTACATCACCGCCCCCACTCCCAATGATTACAACATGCAATAGATAGTATATGATTTCTATGATTACTATTTTATCACCAAGATCACTGAAGGGATCAACAAACACGCTCTGCTTGATAACGCTTTGTTTCGATACAAGTCACTAACAAGCCTGCAGGTAAAATCTCAAGTGTACGCAAGTACGCTCAACATCGCTGCATGTGCCAACTGCGCGTTCTGTCTTCGTGTCAAGCCATGCTTTCAGCTTCCTTCAATCAAGTTGGCTGATCTGCACTGGTCACGCGGACTCGTGATGAAGGTGACCAAAATCGTGAACAAATAGTTTAGCACGATTAAGGCAATCCGCGCGATATGCCAGACAGGTCGCAAAGGTAAGTGATAGGTAGGCCGTGTAGGCAGGGTATTCGCTCTAGCTAGTCTCAATAAAAAAGTCAATCAACATCTGCATCATCTTCCGCGATTCTCTGCTCTGGTGTCATCGCTCTCCTTCGTGTGATTTTCCTTCCGTAGTTTCGGTAAAGGTTCGTCAGCAGCTCCCTCACCACGTCGTTGAATGCTGTCCTTGCGTCAAATTTGCTTCCACCGTACGGGAAGGGGACGATCTTGGACCAGTCGGCGTTATCTTCAAAGTAAAACTCGAGATCAAATGCAACCGCATCCTTGAGCATGGCCTTGAGCGTCTCTCCCTTGTGACCGTTGACGTCTGCCCACGCCCACAGTGCAGGGTCATGGAAATTCAACGTGCTCGACGCCTCTTCGGCGAGGATCTGTGCGTTGAAGAGTAGGTGACGGATAATGTTGATGTCGCAACCGCAATGTATGACAGCATACTGCAGTAGCTCAGTAGTGATGCCTTTTTGTACACCCAACAGCACGGCAAGCGCTGCCACCGCGTGCTCATTACCCTCCTTGATCGCTTCTTTCATGCCCCATTTCGCCACTTCACCTGCCATACTACCCTCCCAATCGATCTCTCCAGTCAGGCTAACCAACACGTAAAGCAGTGACGCTTTGTCCTCTGTCCATGGCCCATGCAGCAACTTTTCTGGTATGTGAAAGCCTTGCGCAAAAGCGAGATGAGGGATCTTGGTGAACTTGTATGGCCAAAGTCCGTCGAAGTAGGACACTCCAGGGATCGTAACTCCAGTAGCTGCCCAGGCCTTCCCACGCAACTTGACCATGGCATCTTGTGCGCGCTGCACGTATTTCAAAAAGAAGTCGTAGGTAAAGAAATGGCAAGTCAGGATGTTGGACTGGAGTGAGGCATCGCTGGTGACGAGTCGGTCCCGATAGTTGGTACGGTGATCAACGGTATGGAAGAAGGCCTGCATAGTGAAGCTCATCTCTATGGCGTGTGAGGAGAGTTTCGCGCCAAGATCCCGTGAGCAGCGTGGAAGCGCTGGGTTCATGCTGTAAAGAAAGATCATTTCCAGCAGTTCTGTGGGAAGTCCTTGGAGCGTCGGCATGGCCGGCGTATATTCTTTTTTCTTGCGGGCTGCTTTCGTTTTCCGTTGTCGTTTGAGTTGAGATGAGGCTGCTGAAGAGTTTTGTGCAGGTATGGTAAAAGGTTTACTTTTGGAGGCAGCAGCATATGCTGGGTGTAAGTACTTCCTCTTCTTGCCACGCACGATGATAGGTGTCAGTTCCATCGGCTACTTATGAGCGGCCGTTGCGACCAGGCAGCACTGAAAAGTAAGCCACTTCCGATTGCATGCAGCATGCACAAGGTAGATGGATCGGGAAAGGCTCCGCGTCACCTTTTGGAGATCGCACTGTGCGCCACGTTTTGGTGCACGGGCCCGGTGTGGCTTTGCCGCGGCGTTCCTGGAGCTAGCGTTAGCTTTCCGCTCGTCTTCCTGTCGCATAAACAAAAGACCCGAGGAGATTGACGCACCACACGCGCGTGCACCACGAACGGAAAAGCGAATCACCGAACGAACGACGCGACCACACCGAAGAGATGCAGGTCCACGCAGTACCCGATTCCGAGCGCGCGTTTGATTCGAATGGGAGGAGGCTGCCCTGGGGGATTGAGTTCGCAGAGTAAGTCATGTTTCACTGCCATTACCGAATGGAGCCTTCTGCACGCATGAGCCTAGTCATGCGACAAACAAGACTACAAAGTGTTCTTTATACGACATTCCTCTTCTTCATGCTATCTTGACGCCATGGACGACCTCAACTGGGATTCACCCATAGATTCGGACACACAGCTAACATCGATCCCCGACAGTCCCGATCAAAATCAACGGCGCGTGCCAGAAGAGAAAGGCCCCTTTGGCAAAGCACGGAAACGCGGCACCTCACGAGCGAAGACACCCTTGGGCGCCAGCAACGCAGCTGACGAAGCGAGACTCTACAACCAGCGCACAGAAGATGACATCTTCAGTCGTTTCAAGGCAGACGAGGACAAGAGGCGCTCGGTATCTGCGCGGCCAGCCGGTGCATTACCACCATCAGCTTCGGCACCAAATCTCATAGATGCAAGCAACGGACTGAACGTTTCGTTCGCAGCAGGCGCATCGACGAACGCCACTTTCGCACAAGAACCCAAGGAAGTCATACTATACGGCTTTGGCTCCGAGCAGCAATGGGCTGCGATAGCACACTACGAGAAGGTTTCCAACGGAATGATCTACGAAGAATACGACCGCGAGCCACCCAACCCCAGGCTCGGCTATAGTCTAGCAGCGCAACGCTCGACGTACTACCCAAACTTGGAACCGAAATACTTGACCAGGATCAAGACATATCTTGGGGGAGATCATTGGGTCAAGGTGACTTTCGATAGTGCGGAAGCCGCCGAGCGCGCATGTCACTACAGTCCGAAGAACATCCAGGGCTACACAGTTTACGCAGAGATGTACAGAGGGACAGGACCACAAGGTGGTGACCGGCCGTTTCGCGCAGAAGGAGGGGGAATGTCACAAATCGCTTCACCCAACACCGTATCTTCAGGCACCTTAGGACCACGCGGTGCATCTCAGTCTTCCGCAACAGCCTCATCTGCCACAGCAACGGCCTCCCAGCCTGCAGCGTCACAGGGACTCGTGTCGCAATCAAACTCGGAACCAGCCTGGCTGAGGAGTACGAGCGGTGCTTTCCCAAGCCATCTCGACGACATGCCCGTGGAACCCATGTCTCAACCACGCGAAATGCACCAAGCTCTTGACCCAAACACCGTTCCCGCGCATGCAACTACCACAGCATTGAACCCCCGTTCTCAACGCGCAACCCTGCGACTCAAGGGCGCAAACGTGAAGCCCGCTGTCTTCCTCCCACAAGAAAAGGCCTTCCTCCCCGCAAAACCCCGCTGGCAGCAGACAGTCGGCTCGGTGCCTGTCATCGGCTGGGTGATTGGCTCAGGACATGGTATCATTGGCGACCATGTACCGAGAAAAGAGGACGGAACTTTCGATGCGAACAATGCGAGTCTCTACTGGCGGGTGTGGTATATGGTGGACAGCTGCTTCGGTAGTGACTTTTGCGGGGTCAGGGATGCGGAGTATGATGAGTAGGGTTAATTCCAGGTGGGGGCATTTTGTGTAAGACCAAGGGGGTATTTGACAAGCATTGGGCGGCGTTTTCGAAATGACAATATAGCGATGTGACTTCTGGTGCTTGGAGGGTTCGGTATCAAATGCATATGTAATGAAATGCGAGTAGCATCCTCAACAGAAAGCGTTTCTTTCGTGATATATGATTTGCGGGGTTGTCTAATCATGTAAGAATTCATGCTGTAAAAGTCTCGAGGTGACTGCGTTGAAATCAAAATGAGCAACGCAGGCGGAATGATGTAAATGGTCAAAATCTAGGGTGCATTTCCACTGTCTGGAACTATTCACAAATACGTAGGTAATACAACCCAGATCGGGTACATCTCGACTACATGCAAAGAAGATGCTTAGAGGACGGAAAGATCGCCAAACTTCTCCTGCGGGGTTGTTAGCACTTGCACATGAACTGTCTTGAGTGTTCCAGAAACTTGCCTTGTAGCCGGGAACGGCCCAGCGACCCTTGGAGACGAGCTGCTCGGTGCGCTTGTCGATCTCGGGCTGAGCAGCTGCGACCTCGTCCTGTGATATTCGTCAGCGTCTTATCCCTCACTTGCCCATGACCGTATATACGTACAACAGTGAGGTCAGCGAATGGCCTGGCATCCTCAATGTTCTTCAGTGTCTTCTGGAGGTCGCTCAACTCCTTGTCGACAACGCTCTTGGTCTGCTCTGCGCTCTGGACGGCCTGGGCCTCGAAAGCCTCAATGGCCTTAATCTGCCTTCCTACATCGTATGTCTGGGGCTTGAAAGCGTTGAACTGCTTCTCGATGTCGTCGATGACGGCCTGGTTCTTGAGGATGCCGCGGTAGTGGTTGAAGTCGACGGTCTGGGACTGCTCGGAGAGAACGGTGACTTTGCGACGCGCATCGTCGTTGCGCTTCTTGAAGGACTGGAGGGCGGCGGCGGTTTGACCCTTGAGGCCGAGCTGGGTGCCCAGCTTGGTCCAGTCGAGCTTGAGGGCTGCGCTACGCTACAGGAGGGGATATGTTAGTTTTCTTGTTCTGCATTTCGGAGGTGCCATTGCGGGTGGGGGGCTACTGCCGGCGCAGCAATTGGGCATTCGAGAGCTTCGACGGATCTTCTGGAAGGGGTGTGACGTACTCCGACGGCCATTGTGATGGATTTAGACGGGGATGCGGTGGTTTCGGTTCGGGAGGGTTGATGTCCAAGTTCTTCGCGAGAGCTCGGAACAGCGCCGCCAAGGATCTGGCGCACGGGCCACTCGACTTCCGCCTCGATCGCGGCCATGTTCCCCCAACATTACCTTTCCCATTCACACTCTACACTTCGTTGCTACATTCTCAACCAACAGTCTACACCCGAACAACTCTCATCAACATGTGGATTCTCGACTGGTAAGCCCCTTGCTATGTGCTCATATCGCTTTCTTGCTGACCTCGCGCCAGGTGTAAGTTAACTACCCTCACTCGTTATGTCCCGAACTGGATGGACGTATGTGTTCGTTTTCGTAGCACGGCAGAGCAAGGTCCCTCGAGCACTCTCTCTTAGCACTGCTATCGCCTTCCGAGGCCAACGCCTACAACACCGCGCAAGGAAACATCAAGGCCGGGCTTATCACATGCGCATCGACACTATACCATCGCATATGTCCCGAACACCTGCCGGATCAACCAATGGCTTGCCTGGAACATAGTTGAATATGGGCTGACGTTTTGTAACAGTCTGGGATGTTCTGTCCTCGCTTGGACTCATGAACAAGGTAAGCAGGAGCATAGTCTCAACTTCGCTACTCAAGCTAACACATCATCACAGCATGCCAAACTCCTCTTCCTCGGACTGTACGCACTTCCACATGCCAGCAATCTCAAATACGTATAGCTGACTAGGCTCCAGTGACAATGCAGGAAAGACCACGTATGGCTACCAGACTGGACACGCGAGCTTCCGCTAACACGATTAGGCTTCTGCACATGCTCAAGAACGACAGGGTCGCTGTCCTGTAAGTGAGATGTGGCCTTATTGTACAGCTACCGGCTGACATGTGCTTCAGCCAGCCGACTCTGCACCCCACTTCCGAAGAGCTCTCAATAGGAAACGTCAAGTTCACAACCTTCGATCTCGGAGGTCACGCACAAGCCCGCCGACTATGGCGCGATTACTGTATGTCAAGCCTGCTTGTTCGCCTTGCATAAACTGACAATATCCCAGTCCCTGAAGTTTCCGGCATCGTCTTCCTCGTTGACGCCAAAGACCATGAGCGTCTCTCCGAGTCGAAAGCCGAGCTCGATGCTCTCCTCGCCATGGAGGAGCTGAAGAACACTCCTTTCGTCGTTCTTGGAAACAAGATCGACCACCCCGACGCCATCTCCGAGGACCAGCTCCGTTCCGCTCTTGGTCTATACCAGACAACCGGTAAGGGCAAGGTACCGCTCGAGGGTATCCGCCCGGTTGAGGTCTTCATGTGCAGTGTGGTCATGAGGCAGGGATACGGAGAGGGTATCAGATGGTTGAGCCAGTACGTCTAGGCGGATTACTCCAGCAATTATAAGCACGCTAGGCGGACACAAAGCAGCGGGGAGCGCATGTGGCTGCACGTTGGCTCTCTCGATGGTATGAGTTAGATGCAAGTACATACCATGGCTATCATATGCGTAGTAGATGTACTCTTATGGGCGTTGGCGTTAGCTCTTGGAATAATAACATATTGCACACCAACACTTGTAATACGGTGCAGCGAAGGCTGGGTCGGCCCGAAGCGAGCGTGACCGCTACGTCGGGTGTTACTTCAGATGACGTGGGACAATCGCTCCATTTCATTTGTATGCGTGATGAACGACAGATATCACGCATCGAACATGTACACCTGTGGTTTTCTATTCCGGAATCATAGTCGCTGACAACGACTCAACATATTCAAAACGTCACTCATGTTTGCATGCAACTTTCAGGGGTTTAGGGAAAGCGAATAAGCGATAAGGATGATGGAGGAATATGTACCGATATGGAGATACCATGACTGCATATCGTAATCAATCATTACAGATATCAAATGTCCACCGTTTGGTAGGGTCCGATACCTCGATTTCGGTACGGTAATCCACGGTACCAGCTCAAGCATGAGTGTGATATCGAGTGTGCCAGATGTGTTGTACCAGAAGTCCGAATACCAGATATAGAAACCGGGAATACGGTTTTGGACAGCCAAAAACGTCGAGCTAGCGAAGCTATCCCGCCTAGGCGTTTTCTGGAAAGAATGAAAGATAAGAAGAGTCAGATCACTCCGCTCATGACATTGAAAGAAGTCTCAAAAATGGAAACACGGTTTTGGGAAGCCAAGAGCGGTAATTGAACAAATCGATCCTGTTTGGAGCTTTTGCAAGGAGTCACCTAGAGGCGCCAAATGACTACTTGCTAGAGTCAAAAAACACATCTCGGAACTGGGAGTGCAAAACTGAGTCCACAGTATTAACTGGATGCTTTGATGCTTCGATGCATCGTCATCCGAGCCTTTTGCGAGAGAAGCTTCAGATAAACGGAATGACGGTATTCGTTAACGGAAATCATGATCTCGAAATTACGATTGCAGTTCCAATAAGCCGTCCGTCTTAACTGGACGAAGCCTCAAACCCCTACTTCACGATACTCAAGCATGCATTTTGTTAAAACGATTCCCGAGACTACATACTGAATCCTGGGCGTTGGTTCAATGTCAAACGGCAATATTTCCCAGACATTCTCACGGCAAGACACTTCAAAAGTCCAGTTCACGATATCTATAACAAGAAACCAAGTTCTCAGTGTCGAAAGCAGGCCACCACCCCTTCCCCAGGCGTTCTCGCCACCTGAACACGGCACAGTCAACCCCCAACCCGCTGGTTCGTCGAACAACCCGTCTCAACCAAACTTTGTCCCCGCGGAAAGCCGAAACCCCGAAAAGAAAAACGCACCGCCACAGCTAATCCATCTAGCCCTGCCCACATCCTATTAATATCCCTCAAGAACTAAAGAGTATTCGATAATACGCTTGTTGGTAGTGTCAGAGACGGCGCAAGCCTCCCAACGACTCTAGTGCATGCACGCGTGTCAATCGATAACGCGGGCTGCAACTTAATCTTTGGTGGTTTGACACGTTGGCTGAGGGACTGAGGGTGGATAAGTGGTTAGGGTGGGCTGTAGCTTGGTGGGTTGGGGTTATGGGGGAATAGTGAGGCAGAGACGGTGTGTGCATGCAGGGTGGATTGACGACGTTTGTCTGTGGTTTTTTCTTTTTTCTCTTTGTTGTCGTGTTTTTTTGTTTGGAGATATGTATATTGTGCCTTTGAGCTGTATCTGTTCCATTTGGTGATTTGGGACTGTGTGGTATCGTAGGAGCTGCATTGAAGTGTGTGATGTGCAATTGACATCATGATTTCGTACCGTATACTTCGGAGAATGTACCGGTACATAGCCCTTGCTTAAGCAACGTGAACGTGGGGTATATACCTCCTCACCGGCTGTTATGTACGTGCTCAAGATGCCTGTCAAGACATATGCGTGACACTGCATTTTGGAGACTACATGCAGTAGCAAGCGAAAAGCGTACAATCGCCGGTGTGATGTGACGTGACACAGCTAGGATAGAGATCAGCATGCACCAGCAGGGAAATGCGCCTCTGCGGCACTGCGAAGGATGTATGTCGTCTGACTGACTTGCCAGGATTACTGCAGTAGCTTTGAAGGGATTGAGTAATGGGTGGCATTTCTTGAAAAGCGGAGGATTTGTGAAGGGGTTGGGTTGCGGGGTCAGAGGGAGCAGAAGGGCTGGGTATCACGGTAGATGAGATGAGGAAAATGTTGTGTTTTTTTATCCGTTTGTATTAATATTTTCATCGCATGGAGATGCGGGACTACCTATTGAACTAGCTAGGTCCGTGGCTTCTTCTTAGAAACAAATATCCAAACACCATGCCGCCTATGCTTTAGCTATGTACATGATGTCGTAGATGCATGCAGTCATCAAG